TAACATATGCTGTCTCTGCAAATTACCATGGTCCGTAGCAAATGCTGTTAACCAGTCCCAGTTTGTTTTGTACTGGCTAAATACATACAAATATCCTTTTACACTGTTCTAGTAGGATATTTATGGTGCAAAATGCAGCAAAATCACAACCTTCCCCTGTGAAATTATACTTCAATCCAACACTAATCGACAAATCTGTCAGTTTCACAGCGAAACGGACACCCAAGGGAGAGCAGTATGCCATGTTTTGGAAACTTTCCCTATCTGTGACTAAACCATTCGCAACTGTTCAGAACTGAGACACTGATTCAGAAAAACTGAAGATGAGGAAATGAATGTAAAGCAAAGCGTTGTTGATTACATTTGTATCAGCTGATGGCAAAGCCCCCATCAAAATTAACATATACTTAGTTTAAAACAACACAGTTTGAAATTTCTGGTAGCTTAAAGAAGTGGTTAAACCATGTTGGGTGATTAAATGTGATCATCATACTTGTTCTTAATAACTGAAACTAGCATAAAAAGGAATTAGCTTACATTACGTTTTTGGAGAGAAAAGGTGCTTGTTCAGATCATTGCTAGTTCTTTCTCTCGCTTTTAAGTCAAAGTCTGAATTATAAGAGATGCATTCGTGATATGGGTCCATTACGCTCTTGAGTCACTTAAATGAATTCTGCCTATCAAGTGGGGCAAATTGTTTCAAATGTGAGTTGATGCCATTTTTTCTGAGAACAGCATGTGGCATTATAACCTTTGATATGAACAAGAGTTATCTGACACTTTGTCAAATGCATCTTCTTTATGAGGAACTCACTTGTGTGGATGGAGAGATTATTTGCTTCATTGTTTGTCTTGTAAATCTTGTAAATTAAGCAGAGTGTCAATGGATGCCATCTCTGATTAGTGTCAACAGGCCTCTAATGAAATTGTTCAACCTGTAGGCGTGTTCCAGCTCTCGTGCAATGACTGTGGTGACACAGTTTTCCTCATGGTATGGAGGTTTTACATGAGAACATCTGGACCAAAAAATTAAAACAAACCAACTTGGGGATAAAAACTTTCAAAGTCCAAATCCTACAAGAAACCTGTTTACCAAAAGGCACATATGGCAGAAATGACTAAGCCTTTAAAAAATGGAAAGCATGCTGAAGGATCACAGAGAAGAAGAAGAATCAGCAGTTTAGGAAATATGATTGTATGAGAATGTGATGAATGGATCTGCTGTAGTTCTGGAGACCATGGTCAGCACAGTGAGGCCACACAGACGCAGATGAACAGCCAGGAGTAGAAAGCAGAGGAGCTGATCCAGACTCTAGAGTCTTCGCGGTCATGATCCATGATAAGGAGCAACAGAGAAATGGATATCTGAAACCCTTCCAACACACCTGTCTGTCTGTCTGTCTCTCTCCCCGCTGCTGGATGCCTGTGACTTTCAGTGTTGACGTATGCTCTCGCTTTCAGCTTGGAGTGAAAGGAAAAGGAAGGGAAGCCGACAGAAGAGAATAATTTATCCCACCCTGCTCCTGTAATGTCACACTAACTCACAGCAGCATGGGAAATGAATTACAAGAGATGGAGGAAATGACAGAAAACATCCGGGATGATTTTCTGGGTATAAGGAGAACATTATCAGGTCTGGTACAGATTACAAGGAATCCTATTTAGATGTAAAGTTAAAAGTCCCAGGCTTTGTGCTGGCACTCAGTCTCTTGCTCTGGTTATTGGCATGTCTCCAAGCTTTGCAGCTTCATGAATCGGTTTTTGTTTTTGGGGAGAAAATTGTAAATGAGAGGGGGGAAAATACTGAATGCTGACTTTATGCCATTAGAGAATTACAGAATCCTGTAGGCACTAAATGTTCAGGTGGTGCCTTCAAGCAGTTTTTTTTTTTAAATGACGCATGTATTTTTTGGATCTGTCAGTAATATATTTTGCAATAATTGTTTCTTTTCCCTAGCTGGGTCTCCAGGGCTGACCATCCACTTAACCCTAATTTAAACTATGGCCCAAACCCTAACCTCAATAAGCAAGACCAAACACAGCCAGTGAATTGGTGGAACCTGCTGGGACTGGTACACAGCTCTGGGTAAAAAGGTGGTCTCTGCAAATTTTGCTGTATTAGAAAAAAGAGCATGTGCTTAAAACACCTGGATCACAGTGGGATAGTAAAGTACAAACAGTGTTGGAGGAACTAATTTGAAAGCAGAGGCTTGCAAGCTACCCATTACTGCACACTGGAAGACACTGAACTACAGTGAAGTTACCCCTAGGGAGAAATCTAGTTTGGTTAAATAAAGCTTTATAGAAAAAGCAGTTCAAGCTACTTTGTAAAAAATAAAAAATCTAATTCTAATTCTCAGGGTGCGAGTGATACAGAATTATAGCAAAGCTGAGTTTATTCCCTGAGACCTAAACCTGTCCTAAATAGAAGAATCCCATCTGGGCTTTTCACAAGGACAACATTGCAAGAAATTTGATATTTTGTTGTGAACAAATCAGCATTTACTACAACTAAAACAATTAAAAAAAAGTTATTTAGCTTCTACCTTTAGGCCATTTGACCAACTTGAGCGCAGGTCTTCATAATGAGACTGTTGTCTTACTTGTCAGTTTTGTAACATTTGACTTGAACAGTCTTAACAAATAAAACTTGTCTTCAACTTGTACTTTTTTAGACAGTATGAATAGATTGAGCGCTGGTCTAAATAATGGGCCTATCTTTGTACTTGTCAGAGCAGAATCTCTTGTTTATATGACACATGAGCAGTTTCACACAGTTCTTATCCAGCAGGCGGTTCTGTTTGGCACTGAAAATGTCTGTCAACACTGAAAAGCTGCTGACATGCAGTGTGGTAAAATAAAACTCTTTCCTTTCTTTTTATGTCCCAAAATTGTCATTTTACTACATAAAAATGGCCAAAAAAAAACTAGCCTACTACTATCACCATGCACTATTGTAAAAAAGGCCCAAAGTTTCCTCGCTCACAACTATACTATACACACTATACTAGTTTATTTACATGTACAAATACACTCTGATGAAGGCTATGAAGTAAAAATGTGACAGTAAGAAAAGTCAAAAGAGTTTGTTTCCAGATTTGGATGAGAGTGAGTGTACTGTAACTTATCATGCTTTTAGATTAGCCAGTAAAGAAAAGTGCTGTCTGACAAACACCACAGGCTCTTTGAAACACTAGTTGCTTGCGCTGCCAGTAAACTGATTATTCTCACTGTTAATATGATAAGAAATCTACTATTCATATGACATATTACCAGAATTGATTTGCCCGTGGTGGCACATCACATAATGACGTATGGCGACGGCTGAGACAACATTTTTGTTTTCTCCTAGAATAATCATTACACTGGTGGAGACTTGCACTCCAGACCTTGAGATAATATGCTCCGAGTATGGGACTGTCTGACAGGCTGGGTCGAGATGTATTACAGCAAAGATTCAATAAATCTGTTTCTTACTATGGAGATGAACATATGACTGATTAAAGGAAAAGAAACATTTTACTGGAGTGAAGGGTTCACATTGGTATTTCAAAGCACTGGTTTCCTTCAAAAGATCATTTTGCCTTGTTTTTCAAAATACATAGCGGTTCAAATACATTTTTAATAGCTCTGTGTGTGACATTTGTGTGTGATTACAGCTGTTTTCAAAGAGTGTTGAGGCAGAATCAGACTGGGCAGGGAAAGGCTATTCCTTCTATGGTGGGTTGTCATTCCCTGCTACTGGGGGTTCGTTTCTGTTGTTTTTGCATCAAATGAAGTTTGGAATTTGAAGTGTATCACCTCTTATTAAATATTTTTCACAGACTGAAAGCCAGTGAGCCATTTGAGGTAGATATGGATGTTGGACTCAGGAGAAATTTAGTGTGTTATAGAATGGAACTTAGCAAACCTCCAGAAAAACACAAACTGCCTTAAAATTAAATGAAATCTTTAAATAGAGAAAATCCTTTGCATCTCAGTCTGCCACAAAAATCCTAAAATAATATCCCTAATAACCTCCAGGACAGATGGTGTGTGCAAACACATTTGTTGTCTTTCCCTCCAAAGAAAAAATACATGCACAGTTTCATGACATCATTTGAAACGAAATGAACGTATTCTTTGAAGGGTTCAACAAGCACATTCAACAGCATTACAAGCAGCAGAAATACTCTATGAGCAGCAATGAATGCATTCTCTGACAATGATGCATAATCAAGTGAGGCGTCACCAAACCATATGACCCACCAGGGCGTCATGTCTCACTTGAAAATGATTAAATGCAAAGATGGATTCCCAGCGTTTCATTCAAACAAGCCGGTAAAAGCGCACACACATCTCACTGCGTCTTGAGAATGGCACCGACATCCTGCATCCACTGTTTGACTGCAATCATATTAGTTTACAATGACCGTTTGTTTTCATCCATGCATTTATTAGACCTATAGACTCCTCGCTTTCGCGTTTGTGTGGAACAACAGTAAGCCAAGTGGAGCGGAAATGAGAGAGGGGTTTGCATAGGGGCTCCCGTACACAGAGCTAATGAAGGGGTTCATTGTGTTGTCAAGTCTCCCCCCCCCATCAGTTCCACGGGAAACGCCAGCCTCATCCCTGCTCCCAAAGCCTCTCAACAAAGGTGATTCATCTGTTGAGTCTGTGATCAGAGAGGGACCACTGCCCCCTAAAAAAAAAGGATAAACATTTCAACGCGCATACACACCAGCATTCACAAGGAGAGGGTTTGGAAAGTCTTTGTCTGTGATTGAGCTCAGACGAAAATGTCTCGATAAGACACAGGTATCGTTAAGTGTTCATACTTTCCATATATGATGACAACAGACGTTTCCAGCACACCAACATGCCTCCAAACACTGTCATATCTGTGCGGCATACTCTCACAAACAGAAGCCACAACACAGCTGCGTAACTCTGTGATGCATGGCTGTCATACGGCTCCTGATGTTAATGTGACAGTGGAAAAGACAAGGAAGCACTCTTACCCTGTAATCTTCCTGATATAAGTGAGCCCAAAGTGGTGAAAACGAACTTCTGCGCTATCTGATGCGGTCCTGTTCCTTTTCTCCCTCTTCCTCCGTCTTTGTTTGGCAGCGCCGGCTCGTGTCAGCTCTGGACCCGCCTGCTGTTTGAACGCTGCTCGCCAAACCCGAGCAGATTCACAACGAAAAAGAAGAAGAAGACAAGTGCGGGAAGTCAAAATACCAGTGAGTTTAGTTTTTAAGTTGTGGGGAAATCAAGCCCTCTTTAATGGTATTCCCAGACTCGATGCTTGAACAAATCTCCCGTCTCTCGATCAACTCCGCTGCTCAGACGCTGTCCAGTAGCGAGTGGTGCTGAATGATGAGACTCCAGGGGTTGCAGAGATTTCCTACTTTTCGTCTCCTTCTTCTCTTGCCTCTTCTGTTTGACTGCACAAATCTTCCCTCCCACCGGCGCAAGACTGGGAAGTATCCCGCCTTTTCCTTTTTTAAGTGCCTACAGATGAGATCTCCGCCAAAGCAAAGCTCTGTCTCGCACTAACACTGCTGGTAGCGCATTCCACAACAAAAAGGGACAAGACCTGACTGCGTAAAATCGATGCTTGAGAAATTACAATGAAATCAGCTGCATTTAAAAACAGATCAATAAGTTAACACATAATGAATCTAATGAATATTAATTAGACAAAACAAATTTGGTTTTCACGTTTAGAGACAGTCTGTAAAAACGTGGATTTATGTGGAAATTGGTTTTAAACAGCTGACAACTCATTTCAAAGAGTTTTGTTATTTGACACATGCAGCCACGAGGATGAGACATTTGTCAGAAATGTAAAGATGTCCCGCAGTCTGCGGCTGTTAAGACGTAATAGTAAACCTGCGCTATGTTTTGGGGCCCTGCGGGTGTTCTGTCGAGTTGTTCTGTCGGTCCAGTTGTGCTGCTGAGTGGTTCTGCGTATGCGCAAACCCGCAATCTGGTTGTTGGCAAATCGAAAGACTGCTGCTCAGGCAGCATGTCTCCACAAGGTAGCACAGCTCCACAGAACACCGGCTCTCACTGCTCCCAATATCTTAGTATGAGTAGGAAATCATTTGCAGTAACGCGCCGAGCATCTCTGCCTCACCGACAAACGGTGTGCGTGTGTGTGTTTACACAGCCACATTGTGGGGACTCCACGTCCTTATGTCCCCAAAACGTAAATCATTACGGCTTGGTTTAAGATTAGGTTAGGGTTCGTCTCCAGGAAATGAATGTACAGTAAGTCAGTGTAATACCCCCTGAAGTGATGGAAATACAATATGTGTGTATGTATTAAACACCACTGTGCCTGTGTATGATCCCGCATGTTTTAGTCTCTTCAACCGTGCTTGTGTTGTGTTGAGATGTTCTCCCATCGAGATGTTTCCCCTAAACTGATCCCTAACCTTATCCTAACCATAATCACAGAGGGGGGCGCATCCTGATGGGGGAACATATTTCTACACAAGACCGGAAATGTTAATTCCCCGTTTTAGGTCACTCAGTCTTGAGTCCAGATTCACTGAACAGCACTCAGATACAGAATTGAATTGTTAAGGGGCCGACTGGTGCATCTTCACGTCCACTGCTTCTCGCTGCTGTCTTTCTGCCTTTATCAATACTTAAGGAGTCTTAGGTTTTGCAGCTGAAACGGGTCCCCACTACTCACGCACGTTTCCAACTCTCTCACGCTCGCGCGTGCACGCGCTCCCGCAGGTCTTACTCTCGACGTTTATGCACTGTTCGCTGTGCAGTGATTACCTCGGATCATCCCTCGGGTAATTTCGACTTGTTCGTTGGAATCGCTTTTCTTTATATGTTTATCATTACTGTGCTGATTGCAGTTATTGATTCATCAGTGTAATCAGCTGCAAAGCACTCTTCCAGTAATGAATGAACAGAGCTGATCCAGCTGCTTCCATCTCAAGCTGCACTTTAATCTGGGCTCGTTTGTTGCGCCTCTCAGAGCAACACGCACAAACAGCAGAAAGTCTTCAGAGCTGAAAACACTGCTACAAGAGCAGTTTATGGATTTGTACATACATTTTTGCATTTGTAAACATACCTGCAGCAGGTTCTGATAAGTCACAGGGGAGTTAATGAACTCTAACTAATGGCTTAATAAAAGCAGAATAAATCATTTAATAATGTTTTATAGCTCAGTTAAAAGTCATTAATAAGAACACCTTTGGAGTTGACAGACTGTGAAATATCTTCCTTCCAGCATGACACAAGGCAGGCAACTCAAAAGTTGTTTTAATAAATGTAGCCATTTATAAAGTCATTAATATCTGCTCATAAAACTTTGATAACGTGCCTTACTGTGGGGTTATTCTGGGTCAGTATTTGGACGCTTTGTGTTTATCTTCACCAGCATCTTGCAAAAAAAGCACTGACACTGCTGCTGCTTGTCAGTTTGTAACAGTGAGCCAGTATGAGAGTTCAGACAAGTGCAGGTGGCTGAAAGTGAATGTCTTTTATTTAAACGTGCCCCATCTAACACGTGTGGAAGACTGCTTAACACAAATTGCACTCCTCCTTTGTTTTCATGCAGACTGTGGAGTCTGTGAATTATTGCCTTATGTATGAGGTGAATGTAGTTGGCAGTTTGATTCCTGCTTCTCCCGTCCACATGCTGAAGTGTCCTTGAGCAAGACAGTGAACCCCAAGTTGCTCCCGGTGGCTGAGCGTGCGTGTGCTTGGAAAGGCGAATGGTCAAAATAGCATGAAAGTGCTTTGAGTGTGTTTCAGTGCAGAGAACAGTGCTATAAAAGTATAAGTCCATTTACCTTTTAATAAATAAACTATTTTGAAAAATAAGTTAGGCAGTAAAAGACAGTTTGCTTGTCCACACAGCCTATTCTAACGAAGCCGCCAAGGCACAAACATCCCATTATCTAAAACATCTAGTTACCGTATTCTGGTATTCTTGTGGCCACAGTGAAAAAACACTGTGATAAACAGCTATGGATGGCCTCGTGTTTTTTCCTTTGCTTGTTAGTGAAAAAATTCATGAGAAACTGTCAAATATGAAAGGTTTTTCAGCAGTTATTCTCCTAAACCATCTAAACAGCTTTCCTGTGTTGTTTACATGGTAGTACAGTTATGCAGTGACTATATATATATATATGCTCTGATTCTACAATTCATTTTCACTTTTTTGAGTCATCTAATAAAACTGATTTCTACTCTCAGAGATAAAATCACAAATCCACAGCTCAGTTTCAAAATGCTGAAAGAATAAATGGTTAGATTTGTAATTATGTAGATGCCATATTTGAGTTTCAGCTACACATATTTCTCTCACTTTTTGATGGCTGAAGCCATGGGCTAAATGTATTCCTCACTCTCACTTTGAGCCCTAATGAATAATACGATGAGAAACAGAGACTGGAAGGCTTAACAGAGTTTATTAGAATAATATTATATGAATTTTAAAATATCAAATGTAAAACTATTGTTAATGCTCCATTGTCTTAATAATTGAATAGATGAGAGCAAAGGCAGGATTAATAAATAATCTGGGCTGCAATAAAAGTCTACCTGTTTTCACATTGGACAGTCACATGAGCCTTGGGGGGGTCCATAAATTATTCTGTTTCTGTCTAACTGTGATCCATCTAAATTGGGTGGGCAGCAGGATTTCATTAGCTTTCCTCTAGTTCTGCAGTGACAGACTGGAGATACTGATTCACTCTTGGTAAATGCAGAGGCACACCTTTGCTTAAAAGCCAAATAACAAGTCATATCAAAATGAATTGTGCTCCAGTATGTCTCTGGAATAAAACTGATGATAATTAGCTGGTGTGGTATTGTGTTGTTCACAGTAGCTAGACATTCTCACAGAGCAGATGAGCTGCTGTTATTTGTGGACATTCATATATTCCTGCTCATATTTATGGCCGTCGCCTGCCAAGATAGTGATGCAGTGCATGCTGAGGGAACCAGGCTAACAGGGTGCCCATAATGAAAACACTGAGAGAACTGCAAGTCAGCATAGCACAATAAATGTGACTTCAACACAGGGTCTTCAGTGTTCCATAAATTTGACCAGCATTACAAGGTGCTCGGAGTGTGGGTTTGGTGAGGTTCTTGAGTAATTCATACATTCAAAGCACGGGTCAAAGATTTAGATGTTTACAAACAGATGAAAACCTAGAACAGGCATCACAACATGTTTTATATGATTAATAAATCAGAAAGAGCTACTCATCATATTTTGATGTTTAGTTGTACATTTGGGCTTTTCATTATACATGCTGCTATGAGTCTAACCACACCAGTATATACAGACTATGATCCAGTTATCCTAAATCGAAGTTTGTGCTTTTCAAATGATAAATGAGCAGTTTGTTTGACCATCAATATTTTCTGTACATTTCGGTTAAAAGAACTAACTGTTGGCTTGTTTATTTAACACATCCTACATATATACAGATGTACATGTCTGTGCTCTATACTATCTTCAAAAGTGTGTTCACACTTAGTGTACTGTCCATGCACAGAAGGGTGAAAGTGACACATTTAAGACTGAAAAAAACACCTTAAATCCACTTAATGACTTCGTAAACAAAGCCGGCGGTTGGACATCACTGTGCAAACAACAGATGAAAGTATCCATCTGTGATTGCACCTTAGTGTAATCACAGATGGATCAGTTAAGTGTGCTGCATATTACATAACCAGGAGATGTCACGTAATGAAATATTAAAAACAACTGTGTTGGAGTGTATCTGTCTATGTATCACACTCGTATGCACGCATGGTCGTCCATACCGCGGCGGTAGAGGTTACGTTAGCAGCAGGTTGGGAAAGGCAGTTTGAGCCCCAGGATCGGGCAGCACAAGTTCTGGGCGCTGGGCCATGGATGTGTCTGGCTCCCTGTCTTGCCTGGCAACACGGCAGCTCTCCACACATTTAAATGTAACTGCAGGTGGCTTTCACAGCACTAAGCTTTGTTTAACAATACAGTAACCTCTCCGGACTTTTATTAGGGCTTATTAGGTGCTGATGGGTGTGTTGACTGGTTTGGATATTTTATTCTGCCACCGTGCTTTTTAAATGTTTATTATGTTCATTTTTGCTGCGAACTTATGTTGTTGCTCTCCTCATAAACTCTCATTCATTTTGGGTTGTTTTGTAGCCCATTTCTGCACATGCATCTCACTGATGACTTTGCCTGGAAACCCTTCAATTAGCAGTCGTAGTCCCAACTCAAACCACCTGCTGGTAGCAGAATAAATAATGCTGATATAGTGCAGCCTGCAGGTGATGAGGCATAAAATCTAAGCAACAGTGACCCAAGTCAAATGTTTTATCCCTTTTAACGCAGATATGAGGCTAAAGTGCAGTAATGAATAATGGATAATTAACACAGAGAAGCTGTTGCACTTAAAATTATCCATTAAGGTAATTTTGACATCTGTGTAAGCCTAAACAGGCATTTCTCACACGTCCGTCTCTTCAGTTATGCAAATAAAAAAATTTGTTTTAATGCATTATCATTTATTAATATAGCTACTT